TAAAGGGTAATTGCATATTAAGAAAGCATCCCAACCTAGTCCAGTCCAAGCCCATATGTCTGATATTAGCCCATATGTCCGATACCAATCTACAAAGTCCTCTTCAGACTCACAAACACATGCATTGATGCCGAATGCAGGATGATCACAGGCCAGTGGGCAGAAAGTCTTTGGATCAAGTGGTGCTGTAAGCATCTCAGCATTGGCAGGGGTCTTTACGTGGCTTCTCTGGCTCAGGCACTAGTGCTGTTCCATGTTTCTTGTCAGTCCCAAATGCTCCCAAGGAGTGAGCAGAGAGAGAGAGAAGTGTCTCCTGTCTCCAAGGAGGAAAATCCAGCAGTTCCCAGAATTCTCAAGAGAAGGCCAGGCCCATACAGAGGTCTTATTGGCTATCTCCAGATTGACAGGCTAGACGCCACCCTTACACTCTTAATCCTCAAATTGACACCAGATTAGGTAACTACCACACCTATCAACAACAGCACTTGTCTGGGAAGATGCTGTCTTATACAGGGTCCTCTTCGAGTAGCTGTTGCTCAGAGAAGAACAAGAGTGGCAGTGTGGTTAATGTAAACAAGAGGAGCCTAGGATAATTTTGGCTCAAGCTCTTCAGTTTTCTCCAGCCTTGTGAGCGGAGGCCTTCCCATTGCAGAGAAGAACCAACCCATTTCCACTGTGTCAGGTACAAATTTCTGACCTACAGTTGCTCTTAGCACAGCAAGATTGTTGTTATTGCAATTGCTTCATATACATGTGAAAGTTGGACAATGAATAGGGAAGGTTGCCGAATGAATACATCCACTGAGTTTGGTTGTAGTTAGTCACACACTAATGATAACTGATATATGTGCATAAGCTTGAGCTTCATAACCAGTAATTGAGTGAATTTCTGTGGGTATGAAGTTGTGTACAATTTAAGAAGATAATATCACTTTTCCAAAATAGTTATTAGGACAAGGTATAGCAATTTAATACACCTTCGATAGCCTTTTCAATAGTTTTTTTAAAATTTTACTAGTGGTCTTTAAATTATAATAAATGATTAATGAGATTGTTTGGGTGAAAGGTAAACCCAGAGGGGTGGATTCAGTTCCAACTTTGAAGGCTTTCTACCCACATCTATAGGGGTTCCACCATTCTCTATAAGACCAGTAAATGTAGTTGTGCTTTCGATTTTATTCACCAATTTTCCATTTTTCCAAGACTCCCTGAGGTTTTATGTAGAGTAGTTGATATTGCTAGCTAGGCACTGTCTTGTTCTTCTAGTCCAAGGGTCAATGGGGGTTTTGATTCATATGAGCCATTAGTCCTTTGGACTCATTGTTTCCTTGAGTCTGATGTTATTCACTCTTTTTCAAATGGAAAGATACCAATGGTTGAATATTAGATGGCCACTCGCTAGGCTCTAACACCCCAGTCAGGATTCACTATAGTAAGCTGTAGAACACTGTAACTGTGAAATATGTCATTGGGCATTGAAATTCAGTATAAATTTTAGAATGAACATTAAACCTCTTTATCAATTTGGATTTATAGGGTTGTAAATCTTCCTAAACTCGGGAAGCAAAATGCCATATCTTTCTCCTGTGCAGTGAGGTGGTGGATTTGATCCAATGATCTTTTGGTTACCAACCGACCTCTTTACCACTACGCTACCAGGGAACCTTTATCATTTGGGGGCTAGTTGTTCTTTTAAAAATGATGACTTTTGACTGTAGGATCACAGCGTATTCTTCTTTTAATTAGGTATTGTTTTGTTGTAAA